GGGCTTCTTTCAGTGTGGAGAAATGCCATGTTTCGTTATGTGGATTCATAGGGGTTGTTCTAAGGCAAATCTAGAGAATTTGGGCTGCAATATTTTCATAGTAAGCTCATGCAAATGACCTCAGGAGCAGCCAACTGTGCTTCCTCTTCAACCTTTTCAATATATTCAGGGTCTTTTTCTTCCTCCAAAAACATGTGCTGTAATGATACAGAGTAATACTGAATTCTTCAAAACAGCCATTAGATTAGGTGGATTGTGTTGTAGAATATTATTTTAAGATGTGTTATGACATTCTTTTATGTTGCATTTGTTTAACTCTGTGAAACTGTGTTACTTGGCCTGTCTAAAACACTTGATGGGTCTAATAAAGAGTTGAGCAGTTAGTCCCTAGGCAGGAGAGAGAAATAGGTGGGGCTGGCATGCTGAGAGAACAAATAGAAGGAGGAAAAGAGAGATGGAGGAGCAAGGAAAAGAAGAAGGAGAGGAGGACATCAGGGGCCATCTACCCAGCAACACAGCACACCACTGAGTAAAAAGTAAAGAAAAGTACATAGAATAGAGAAAGGTATAAACACAGAGGCAAAAGTTAGATAGGATACTTTAAGTTAAGGAAAACTGGCTAGAAGAATGCCAAGGCCGGGCATTCATAAGAAAGAATAAGACTCCATGTGATTTATTTGGGAGGTGGGTGGTGGACCCTCCAAAATGCCAAAGAGCAAATTAAACAACAGCATTGTCTACAGAGAAGTGTCTCCCACCAGGTAGTTTATGACAGCAGGAGTTGGTTCTTAGTGTTACTGAACTAAGAACTGCATAGAACATAAGGTTTTTGGAAAATGGTGTTATCAAGTGGGAACTGAGGAGCAAACCCAAATGTTAGTGCCCCGTCAATGCCTCTCCTAGTCTTAGCCACTCCCTGACCTTAGTTTCCGTGCTCGTATTTTGGCCACTGCTCTATTCTACACCTGCCGGCTTCTCTTCTACAAAACAACCAGAGTGACTTTAAAACAAATTTTAAGCATGTCAACCACACAGAATTCCTCATTTCAACCATTTTAGGATGTCAATTCAGTAGTATCAAACACATTCACATTGCTATGAGAGTTCCACACACCCCATTCCAGGGTGTTTTCATATTTTTCTGGGTCAAAATTTTGCAACTCCCAAACTCAAACTTCACAATCCCCTTCCTCAGTCTGTACTTTTTTTTTTTTTATCAGAAATGTTTTTCAATTCTATATACTTCACAGAAGTAGTGTCAGGCAGCATTTGTCCTCTGTCGATAGCTTCTTTTTCTTAGTGTAGTAACTGCAAAGCTCATTGTGACATGTGCCAGAACATACTTCTATTTGTGGCTGAGTAATATTCCACGGATGCCACATTCGGTTTGTGGATGGGCAGGAATTGCTTCCACCTTTTTGCCTGTTATGACTAACACTGCTATGGGTATGGTTGTCCACTTGTCTATTTCACAGTCTGCTTTCAATGTTTGTAGTAATTCTGTGTGTAACCTTTTGGGGAAACACCTAATTTTATGCATGCCCTGCAGCTGCAATTGTAGTATCTCCCATTGCTAAAGGCAATGAAAAAGTCCTTCATTTCTCTGTACCTCTGTAACATTTGCTGGTCCCTTCCCGTGTGTGTGTGTGTGTGTGTGTGTGTGTGTGTGTGTGTGTGTGTGTTGTCTGGGAGAAAGCTTAGAACTTTTTGCATGCTAAGGCCATGTTCTATCATGGAGTTATACTCCTAGCCGGTATTAGTCAGGGCTCTTGAGAGGAACAGAACTGATAGCATGAATATCTATCTGTCTGCCTTTCTGTCTGGTGCCATCCATTCATCTGTCTGTCTGTCTATCTATCTATCTATCTATCTATCTATCTATCTATCTATCTATCT